ATGAGAACAAGGGCTAGCGATTGTGAGACTTCTGCCAGCCGCTTGTAGAACGCTTCATCTGCCTCTTCATCCTGGTTGGGTGGTCTATAACAGACTCCCAGCAGGATATCTGCCTCGTTGGCCTTCCCCCTCATCCTTACCCATAAACACTCAACCATATCACTCCTGTCTTCAATAAGAGTAAGGAGAAGGATATGGAATCATAGAATCGTTTAGGTTGGAAAAGACCTTTAAGATCATCAAGTCCAAACGTAAACCTAACACTGCCAAGTCCACCACTAAACCATGTCCCTAAGCACCACATCTACACATCTTTTAAATACCTCCGGGGATGGTGACTCAACCACTTCCCTGGGCAGCCTGTTCCAGTGCTTGACAACCCTTTTGGTGAAGAAATTTTTCCTAATATCCAACCTAAACCTCCCCCGGTGCAACTTGAGGCCATTTGCTCTTGTCCTATGGGGAACTACAGGACAGTCTGCATCACCTTTATCCCTGGGAAGGTGATGAAGTGAATAATCCTGGAAAGCACTTCCAAACATATTAAGGACAGAAACGTGACTGGAAGTAGTCAGCATGGATTTAATGAAGGGGAAATCATGCAGGATCAACTTGATACCCCTCTACAATGTGATGGATGGCTCAGTGAATGATGGAAGAACAAAGAATATTGTTTATCTCAACTTTAGCCAGGCTTTCGACACTACTACATCCTCATAGACAAACTGGTAGAGTACAGGCTAGATAAGTAGATGGTGAGGTGGACTGAAAACTGGCTGAACTGCTGAGCTCACAGCAGAAGTGTAGCTGCAGCCAGTCACTAGTGGTATGCCCAAGGGGTCAATACTAGGGCCAGCACTGTTAAGCATGAATAGGAATAAACCCAGGCACCAGGACAGGCTGGGGCTGACAGGATAGAAAACAGCTTGGCAGAAAAGGACCTGCAGGTCCTGGTGGGCAACAAGTTGACCGTGAGCCAGCAATGTGCCCTTGCAGCAAAGGCGGCCAACAGGCTCCTGGGCTGTATTAGGCAGAGCATTGCCAGCAGGTCAAGGGAGGTGATCCTCCCCCTCTTCAGCACTGGTGAGACACATCTGAAGTGCTGTGTCCAGTGCTGGGCTCCCCAGCACAAGAGAGACAGTGATGTACTGAAGCAAGTCCAGCTAAGGGCTACCAAGGTGATTAAGGACTTGGAGCATCTGTCACACGAGGAGAGGCTGAGAGAGCTGGGACTGTTCAGCCTGGAGAAGGGGCATCATATCAGTGATTTATCTATAAATACCTGATGGGAAGTAGTAAAGAAGACTGAGTCAGATTATTCTCAGTGGTGCCCAGTGAAAGAGCAAGAGGCAATGGGCACAAACTGAAACACAGGTAATTCCATCTGAACTTAAGAAAAAGCTTTTTTTACGGTAGTCAAACACTGAAACAGGTTGCGGGATCTCCGTCCTCAGAGATATCTAAAACCTGACTAGACACAGGCCTTGCTGACCTGCTCTGGTTGACCCTGCATTGAGCATGGAGATTAAACTAGATGATCTCCAGAGCTCCCTTCCAAACCTCATCCATTCTATGATTCTGTGCAAATGTGATTGATTTCCTATGCATTTGCAACCACCACATTAGAGAAGTGATTTAATATGTGGTTTATATACATTTTAAAAGAAATATTTTTATTTAAATATTTATCTATGCTATATAAGACTTGCATTGCTTCATATATGAAAACAGCTTTATGCTTTGTTCACCACATTTTTTTCTTTTAACAGTTCCTGAATACTTAATATAAAACATGGAATATACAGTTCATGTATGCATTCATGGATGTGCAACTCACCACTTTCCCACCAGATTTTGTTTCAGCTATACTCATTGTAAATGTTTTTGTTCCTTTATCGTATGTGCAGTAATGTTTCACCCAAGTAAATCCAAGAGGTCCTAGATTAAAGAGAGATAGTATTAAAAATAATTATTTTGGCATTTTATCACTATTTTAGTTGGAGTTAGATAGAGAAATGAAACATAACAGCATCCACAAGTAGCCTACAAAATTAAAAACTCCCCTAATTTTTTAATTTGAACATATTGTTCAGGTATAATTTTCAAATATTGCAGCTTGATGAGGTTGCCCAACAAAGTTCCAGCAGACTGATTTTCTTTGGCAACTGGATGGGTAACAGCATTTTACTAGGGTAGATAGGCAGGAGACAGGCAAGATCCTGAGGATTTTTTTGCCTAGGAAATACAGTTGAAGATTTTATCAACCCAAGTGAAGCACTAGGATTCAGTATTACATCCTTTCTCTGAGGGAAACCTTGAAGTCTGGTATTAGATCCAGAAAATTGGATGAAGTAATGAAGTCAGAGTGCATTTCCCTTTACTTTCAGAGTTCTTGTCAAAGGTAACAAATGCTTTTGGTGGTATCATAGGAAGTCTATTCTTCTACCTGTTACCTTCAGGGAGTGGGTAGAATGGCATTGGCTCAGAGACAGATTTAATCTTACGTAGTTGAACACTGGAGGGTGATTTCATTATGGAAAAAGAAAGGAAGGAAAGGAACAGTGGACTCTCAAACAATAGTGGTTTAGAGATGAGGGATAAAATGCTGGGTGGCAGAGGTGGTGCCTTCAGCAAGAAACATTGGCCTTTTATGCCTTGGAAGGGGTCCTGCTGGGGAAGAGGTGGCTGTAACAGTGGCACACAACTGACAGCTTCCACAAACTAACAATTGCATGCACTCACAAGACCAAAGTATAATGTACTTAGGGATTTACTAGTCTTCTATTTAGATAGCCATACATGAATCTACAGTGATCCCCAAGTAAGTGGATGTATGCCTTATCCTGGGGAGGTCACACCACACTTCTTAATCCTACTGCAAAGTATAGGATTTCTAATGCAGAAGCTGTTTTCACTCCTGGATTACCCAGAGCTTTGCTCAGGCATTGCTGTGAACCTTTGTTCACTAATCTAAACACAAAACCCTCTTGAGCTTAAGCTCAATGGTATTTTAAACTTTGGCCGCTAATCTAGTTTAGATACAGGTATTTATAATGTGTTCTTTGCTGTGAGGACACAAAGTAAATCCTCCTACCATTTCTATAATTCTCTCCACATCCTAGAAGTACAGTCAAGATCTCCCACAATTTTCTGGAAAAAAATATGTTTACTGTAGCACAGAGGACAAGTTAAGCTCCCAAGATTCTTACAGATAGATCTGGAGGGGTGGTGCGCTGCAGAGGACAGGATAATTCAGGTTTTTGCAGTGTGACTGCTCCCCCTTGGGCCAGAACATTATGGCTATAACTACACTGGTTAATAAACAGTGCTGGCAGCATTCCCAGTCACTAGGTAACACATAGTCAACAGGTAACTTGGACAAAGCTTCTTGATTTTTGAGGATAAGAAATTTAGCACAGAGGGTGGGATATTCTGTGCAAGCTGGTCTCAGTGGCAGAGTACAGCCCCATTTATTTTACTAACATTGGCACAGCTTCTGGGTACTCCATCGCAGAGACCAAACACGATGGCTGTGTGTGAAGAGGTACCAAGAAGGAAAAGTGTTTCTTTCCTCTTGGACAGCATTATGCTTCAGAGCCTCACATTCAAACATGGCCCCTCTCTGCAGAGCCATCACAAATGTAGGTGCCAAAGTAAAATACATATATAAAATGCAGTACTGTAACTACTGCTTAAAGTCAGAATAGGAAAGGATACTTTCAACACATGTGATTTTCCATTTCATTTCAATGGGAGTTACTCATGGGAAAAATATGATATTGATTTTTCAAAGTACAGTATATCTGGACCTTTTAATTCTTTTTAAAATGAAAGAGCTCTGAGTTAAAAAAAATGTATTTTAAGGGTTTTGTGTTTGCTTTTTGAAAAAAAATGTAAACAGTTATATAAAAATGAAAGGTGTTAAAAACAAACTTAGTAGTTTTGCTATAGATACAATGGCTTTGCCTTCTAAATGTAGCCTTCCACAAAGGTGGTGGATATGCAAGAGATTGCATCAGTCATGCAAGTCAGATGTCTGGCAATCCACAAATGTAGATGTGGAAATTTACACGGTCTGTTACGCTGTCTCGGAGAAAGTTCTCCCATTGCCTGCATTTTGCAGGAAAGTAATGTCATGAATTGACCAGTCAACTGGGTACCCAGCCTCAGAAGTCAGCTGTTTTGTTCCTATATTGTAACTTATTTTCACTTAGCAAAACAAAATCTATAATAATGTTAAATCAATTTTTCCTCCGATGGCATTTCATTAACTCTTTTAACATATATAAGAAGGATGAGCACTCTCAAAGCAATTTTAGATGAGTTTAGAAGTTATCTGTTTTTCATTAAAATTTGTAGCCAGAAGCCTACATTGCAACTTTAAGTCTGTTACTCATGACCGTCCATTTGAATAAAAACAATTTATGGCCTACTACCATTTTTTCAAAAAACATATTTACCACCATGCTTATCACCAATAAATATATACAGGATTTAGTTTTACTCTCATGAATAGCAAGTATTTAACCCAGTTGTCCGAAATTTCACATGAGCCTATGTAACTAGTACCTTCCCCACTGACACAGAAATTACAGACCCTGCTACTCTTACTCCAGAATAAACTAATGAACGAATTTCTTTTCAGTAAGAGGATGTCAAGTTGGCCTCTCACTGTGTAATGAAGCACAGCATGTGCCCAATGCTTCACTCCTTTTCTCCCTCCCCCATTAGCAGGGCTCAGTGTAATTTCCACTTAACACAGGTTTCTTTTATCATTATTACTCAATTAAAACATAGAGGGTCTTCTTAAAACTTTCAGTGCTACTGAGGGTAAAAGTGGCTGAGGTTAACTATGATAAGCATTGAGGATTCTTTCTTTTAGCTCACATATGGAATAAAGATTAATTTCACAATGTTATTTGGAAAATCAATTATCTATAACTCCATGTAGTCTCTTGAGTTATCATCTAAAAGGGGAGCAGTGAAGAAGATATCCTCAAAACTGAGGTCAACTGGGGTCAAGTCTGACATGGGAATTCTATATCCAGATGCCTTCTATTTATTTTTAGATTGAGAAATCAGGTGCGAAGTTGTATTTAATAATTTTTGTATGAACGTCAAACTTGCACAAGCTTGTACACACTATCTCAAAACACTGCTATATACTTTTCTAGTGTCAGGCTGATTCCACAGCAAATAGAAAAATAAATAAATAAATATATAAATCTGGGTACCCCATGCAATGAAAACTATTTTACTGAGGGTTTTGCATGATCCTGCCTAACACAGCTAGTTCGGCTTAGTTTTCTATACTGGTTAGAGTGTAAAACAGTGGCAGCTGATATTTCAGGTGACGTATAGTTTTGAATTGTCCCATTGGACTTTTCACATATTTCCTGGTTCTGTTTTCATTCATAGCATGATTTATTGCTAGGCTCTTCCAAGTAGTTTCAGACACTTATGACAACTTTAGTTCTACTCCTTCATTTAGTTCACCACTTCATTCTCATGTCTCATGAAGTGAATAAAACATAGGATAGATTTGTAGCTATTTTGAAGCTGTCAGTCTGTATTTAGATGGCTTTTCTTCTTACACGTTTGTTTTCCATTATGTGCATGTTCATTTACTCTTAAGGTGGTTGGTACAAGGTACAAGTTGCTCCTGCTGGGTGAACTATGGGCCCTGTTCAAGCAGAGAAAGTACAGGAGACAGCAGAGTTTGCAGGTAGAGCCAAAGCAGAGTGCTGGGAGCTTGCAGCTTCTGCAGCAAAGCATAGGGCAGCCAGCCAGAGCAGAGCTTGCTACCAGTCAGCCACTGGGGTGGCCAATAGCAGGGACCTATCCACAAAGACCCAGGGGGCAGGAGTTGAGTTGCTTACAGGTGTTTTGATCACATTCCATCTGACTGTAGCTACTCTGAGTGCTTTTTGAAAAGTTAAACACTTACTTTTCTTTTGAACCTCTAAATCATTTGGAAAGCAACCATAGCAGGTCTGCAGACATTCAAACACAGAGCTGTTGTGTTGTCCTGCTAACTAAACCGTCTTCTCATCCTTGCATTTGTTGCTGTGCCTTTCAAATCAAATTAAAAGGTACATCTGTTTTACTCACGTTTCTCCTGCACATAGAGATAGCCTTCCATTGTCCATTGACTTGGTGGTCTGTAATCCTGGTTGGCTGATTTCATTCTTTGCATGAGTCTCTCCACTTCCTGCCTAGTGCTTTCAAAGTTATTCCGGGTCTAATACCCAGAAAAAGAAACAAACAAAGAACCACATTATCTCATGCAAGTACTAAAAAACAATGAAGAACTAATTACTAATAATGCCAAGGATACTGTATCAGAGACCAACAGAAGCATTTGCTGGAGACATAAAAGGAAAAAAAAAAAGCAATAAAGAATAATACTCTTCATTGCTCTAGAAGCCTAGGAATAACATAGTAATGAAGAGTTCAACTTAAGCACAGAAGTGTAAAGGAAACAGCTGAGAATAGTAATGTTCCTCTTTCTGCAGGTCACTAACCTCAGAAAGGAGGTCTTTCTGCAGGTCACTAACCTCAGAAAGGAGGTCATTTCATATCTTTAGGTATGCTTACACAGTATTTTGCAGACAGATGCAGGCTTTCTCTCTGTGTACTCCAGGATACACAGACAAAAGCCAGGCTAAACTAGAAGCTGCTGATAGCATAGCCCCAAACCTGAAGTAGTAAGTCCCACTGAACCACTTGAAGTACAGTGCAGAAAACATGACTTTGGGTTAATGCCAGGCTAATGCCTCTAGATGGCTGCGGTCTCTCCACAAGAGGAAGAGACAAATACACTGTGTATCTGTATCTGCAGTCCACAGCTGCTGATACCCAGAATAGTCAGGTTACCGACACTGTCATGAACATTTTTTGATAGGACTATGCAAACACCACAGTTAAGTATAACTTAAATATGCTAGGTAAGAAACAGGTGACAAGTGGCAGAACTGTGCCAAAAGCATGGAAGGACTGTGTCTGTCCTAAATATCGTGTGTGTAACCAGGCATCTGGCCAAGCAAACAATCAGGTACAAAAGTGGGTTATGTGTATTTGCTATCTATATACATGTAAATGGACATTTTTTCCTGTTGAATTCAGTGAGACCAGGGTTTCCCTCCACACACCTAGCACAGTATAATAGAGGAGAATTATTATGAGGTGCCAGAGGTTTGATAGGTTGCTACTAATATGCCAGATGTTGAACACTTTGTTCATACAGGTAATAGAAAAGAATAAAGATTTTTGTAACGTTTCTGCAAAGTCATCTTATGGACTCTAATCCTGACTAGTCAAAAAGATACTTTCAGGACTTTATACACTGGTGAATACTTTCCCCTTTTTGTGGACCATTCACGGAGTTGCACAGTAGTAATAATACACATTAAATCTTCTTCTTGAACACAAACATTATTATTAGAGGCAGAGGTAAAATTCTCCTCTGAACTTTTCAGATGGTATCCTTAGGGTGAAGTATCAGTTCAGACCAAACTTAACCGAGGTCATTTTGAGACCTTCAAGAGGGACACGCCATTGAAGGGAGGAATGTCCCCATTTTGAGAGCTTATCTCTGTTTGTCTGTTAGGTTTTTAACTACTACTTTTAAGCAGCCAGGACTTTGAATCAAATTATAGAAGACAAAGCCAAACGGACATACAAAGTACACCACTGGCCAGCTGAAACAGTGAAAGCAACAACAGGTCATGTTAGGACATGGTGACCTGTTAAAAGCTGTTGGTCTGCCACTACTCTGCTACTCCTACGGCTGTTACTGCTCCTGCTCTAACCTGTAGGACAATTTTAAGAACAGAAACAGCAGTTCAGGTCAACTATTCTCCAAGACCTTAACACACAATGCAATAGAGAGGAGTACTTTTGACAGCTACAACAGACAGGCTGAACACAATTTTCCCTGAACACTGTCAGTTTGTCTTTCCCTACATTTTTAACTTCAATCTGAGGTTGGGTGATGCTCTGAGTGACAAGTCAGTAGATAGCCCAGCTGGCAAAAGGAAGCTGTGGATCTAGATCTGGAGCCAGAATTCAAACTTCTGTGTAACAGCAGTGAATGATGTACTGTATACCACTATATCTTCATGTATATGTTTCTCTGATGTGTAAATATAATAAAAAATAATATCATAACACATTGTTTCTTCTGCCTAAATTTACATCTCCCCCTACCTCTGTAGTCTATTTACAACTTCAAGTTGTACTTACATAATATTTAAGAAGAGATTAAGTTAAAGTATTTCTTATTTAACATTGAAATGGAAAAAATCCTTTACGAATTCTGTTTTTGTAGATACGAACATAGAAGATACTAACACATTCTGACTTACAATACCAGTTTTGGTCTGTGCTGTGGGCTAATGCTCCTCTCAGAACTTGCCATATTAAAGTAAGTAAATCTCTGGACAGAAGCACATTTTTCACCCTTTCACTGAAACTGTGCTGTGCAACAACACTGACCCCTTGTGCCTTTATCTGAAAGAGTCTTTGTAGCAAATACATAATTTGAAAGGACAAGGGGCTGAGATGCTCTAGACAGAGAACATTTGCATTTCAATCCAAAAGGAAAAGGTTAATCATCCAGGAGGTTTTGCCTTATTTCCCCAAGCAGCGTTTTAAATGGGATCTATACCTACGTATGAACAACAGACATAAAAGAGGAAGGGGCTACAGAGGTGTGCTGCACATATTTAATTGCAGCAAAACCTGGAAGAGTGCAGTACTCCTAAGAATGCAGATGTACATTAACAGTGCTAAGGCAATGCTGTCTTCCAACTTTGAGGCAACATATGCCTCTCTAATAGCAAAATGCTACAGTGTTTTATTTTCCAGTAACCCACGGGGAATAGCAGTTGAGCACAGTAAAGTGCTCTTGTACTCGCAGACCTGTTTCATACTCCCTAAGTTCAGTGGCCAAGCCACTATCCATAAAAGCCGATGTCAGATCTTCTAAACTGTTGTAGTTTTGATTCTAGTGGAGCTACAAAAATTTCTGTTGAGAGAGTATCTTTTCTTGAAAGAATGAAATGGGAAAGAAATGGAGTCACCCCAAAAATATAGCATATATGCTATAGCATGTATCTATAGCATAGATGATAGAATTCCTTCACTTTTTTTAAATTTGTTCTGTACTCTGAAGTTACTTGTCATGAAAAATGTAGGGCTGGCCCAATATTAACAGGTTGAACCTCACTTTTTGCCTTAAAAGCAAGTGATAGTGGTTCTAATGCAAATCAGGTGTAAAGATGTTTTGTATCTACTTACTTGTATGTCCATGGAAGGGTAACATCTGAGTTATATAGTGAAATAAATATACACTTGTATACAGCAGCTATGATGAGTGGAAAAGTACGCTGATTAAATGCATTTTTGTTATTTCTGAAAGCTACAGAATTTTTGGGTACAGTTAATCTCATATGGCTCTTACTACCAAATTCAGACCAATCTACAGCAAAAGATCCATCTGCTCAGTTGAGAGTAACTCTCTACACAAATAACAGACTCTTTCTTCTCGTGGAGCGTAATGCTCATGAGAGCTGCTCACTGTGGAGGAAGGCCTTACCAGTTCTCTGATGCGGATAAAATAAATCCAGAGAGCAGCCAGAGCATGGCTTCCCAAGTATGCTTTATACTCAGTGGGAAGCTAGCAGACAGCAGGACAAGCTTATTGCGGCAATCTGTGATCTTAAAGAAACAAACTGCATCATTCTATACCAGTTGGAGCATTTTTGGGACATCCACTTACTCCAGAAGACAGGCCCCACTCTCAAGAAAGCATTTACACATGTTTAAACCTATCTGGACTACTGCGTTTTCTAATCAAAACTTGTCTGCTATCCTGCTTTTCTGGTTCTCGCTCCCAAAATTTTGACCTGGAAATCACAAATTGACTATCTGAAGATTAATTTTTCCAAAGCTATTTGCTGACAAGAATCTTCATTACATTAACTTACCAAAAATAACTTTTGCGTGTTCATATAATAATTTGATTTCAGCTTACTAAAACATTGCAAGATTTAGAGTTCCAATAAAGTGCTACGAGTCTACTTTAATGTCCTAAAATTAAATTAGCAAACAAAATGGTGTAAATACAAATCATCCTTACATTCTGCAAATTGAACTGCAGCTGCTGCTTGTATGGTGCAAACTCCTGAGCCAGTTCATATCCTTCATGGTAAAATGTAAATAATCCTTGAAGAAAGGCCAAGAGCTGAAAAGGTAAAATTGAGAAGCATTATGTATTTTTAACACGCACTTTTAATGCTATGTAACACAAACAGAACATACAGTAACTTACAAGGAATAGGTATTGCCTGCGATAGTGAAAAAAATAGTTCTTAGCAACTGCTACACACTTCTTTTGTTCAGGTGAGTATTAGAAAGCAAAAAATAAAGACAGTTGATTTTCTATTAGTTTTTAGCAGCAAAATACAGCAAACCATCAGCAAAAAGCATTCTGTGTCTTTGTTCCTGAAACACTCTAAGCTTTCATTACTCGCAATAGCAAAGCTTTGCTGAGCAAGGAATCCATGGTCAGACCTTAAGAAAGAGAGGTGTTAAACAGGCTTTTGTGCCATGAAGTTGTCATTTCCATAATAATTTAATTCACTGTCATAGTCATTTTGTCCACTATTTCAGCTGGAGTCTTTGTTGGTGTGCATTTTCCAAGTTTATACTTTCAGAGTTCAAGGCTTTTTTCTTCAAAATATTTTTTCACTTTCTTCATAGTAATTGCTTGGGCTATGACATATTTTCCACAAATGAGACTCTTGAAAGTATGTTTTGGACAACTTAATACAACACAAGAAATCCAGACTATTTCTTCCTGCTCTGAACAAAATGCAAACTCTACCTGGTATGTCTGTGACCGACTCCAACAGACCAGTTGAAGTCAGTACATATCCAGTTGAAAATTCTTTTTAAAGTTTGCTTTAAAATAATGATTAAGTACTAAAAAGTGCAACTAGATTTCCTGAATGCTTATTTTAGCTGTTGAATTAATGCATTCCTACCACCTATTAGTTTTAAAAGCCTTCTAACTTAATTCTGTTCTAAATTTAAAACATGTTTTGACATTGCCGTAAGTCTTCTTACTTGCCATTAAATAACAAGCATTTAATTTTTTATAATGGACTGTTTTCTTTGTATATATAATCTAGCTTACATACAACCAAGTAAAGAAAACAACAACAAAAAAGAGATATTAACTTGGATGTACAATAACAAAAGCTACAACAACAGGACAGATTTATCTTAGTATATTACAGCCACTGAAAAGCTAATCATCTAGGCTAAGTAACTGGCTGTCCAGGCTGCCTCCTAACTCAGTAAAAAAACACAGGTATTCAAGAGCATAATTCTTTTTCCTTTTTCAGACTTCTCTTTCAGGACGCGATGAATGATCCAATGGAAACATTTATCTCTCTCCATCGACTATTGAAGTAGCCTACACTCAGGCAACAAAAATGCCATCATTCATATTTAATGCACTTTTCTTTGTGTTACCAGTACCATAGATTATTTTAAGTGAAACAGCTTAAAAATGTAGCTTTTACTGTGTTTACATTTTCTTTAAATTTACACTCAGCCCTACTTGAAGAAGCGTAGTTAAATTGTTCTGCCCCCCTCTTTGCTACAGCTCACTAAGAGACTGCTGTACTAAGGCAACAAATATATTTCAGGGGAATAGCTAAAATAATATTTTGCAATTTTAAAGCCCCATCCATTCCAGCATCACAAGACATTCCACACCCTTTAACGTGCAAAATTACACAGCTTGACCAATGAGAGATCAAGAACACAGCTCTCTGGGCAGAGGCGCTAACATGATGACTTGCTGCTACCAGACTGAAGTCTTGCTCTCCCCTTCCCGTTCCTCCTCCCTTTCCCCACTCAGCTTTGTCATGCACCCCACACATCCTTGTGCCAGCTCTGGCATTGCTGCGCCCTTCAGTGAGCATCTCTGCCTTGGGAAGCCTGCTGTTTTGCTGCATTAGTAAGTTAAAACAGTTCGAGGTTAACAGACCATCAGTGCTGGCACAAATAGAAGCATGAAGGCATGGCTGGGAGAAGGACTTCCCCCTTGGTTTTTACTGGTATTGCAGGATCAGATGAAACCCTGGCCTCAGGCAGAGGTGGTGAAAGCCCATGTCTGCCCAGTAAGTTGGTCATGGAGCCTGAAGAACTGAGAAGATCCTTGGGCATAAAAGCCACTTTTTGTGGGGCCTCTATGATGGGCGTGAATTCCTGAACCACATCCCACCATCAAACAAACAATGAAGGCAACACAGTCAAGTGAAGGGCTCCACAGCTTGTGTAAATTGTCTCAGCTTTATATGATCATCTGCCCAGCTGAAATCATTATCTCAGTTAAGGACCTGGCCCTGCAAGTCTCTTACTGGTTATTCAAGTGGTTCTGAGGAAGGTCCAAATACAACAATCTATCTTAAAATCTCCAATTATGTAAATAGATAGAAAGAGTTCTATAATTTTAAGGTTTATAATGTAATTCTAGAAAGAATTACATAAAAGAAAGAAAAGAAAGAAAACTAATCTTCCTTTTTTATGAATAAAGTATAAAATAAGTAAGTAAATTACAACCAAGGCTCTGCTCTGGCTCCAGCTGTGCAAAGCCCCTGCCCACAGTCTAGATCCAGTTACTCATCCATGTCCCCAACTACAGCAGCATAACTACTCCTGGGCTTACTCTGACTTGCTTCAGTCAAAAGGATGTGGATTAACTTAACCTGTAAGTAAGAGCCTGCTGCTAAACCCACCCCTTTCAGCTAAAGAAGCACTGCAGGAGCAATATGAGCGCTCAGCAAAACTGCAGCCAAAGCAGAATGTTAGAGCATACCAAAATTATAATAAAGGAACTAGTGGGAGAAAGTTTCAGTATATGTCAGCTTATGCCTGAATTTTAAAGATCAGTTTAAAGGGCACTTCTGGAGAATGTACTATAAACCGTTTAAATTTCAGCTTCAATACTTAAAGAAAACCATTTTCCACCATACAAAACGCTTTTACGGAGTACATGGAGAAATACTGAGGAGGAAAATATTTAACACAAGATGGCAGCAAAGCTGAATTTATCAGAAAGCAAAAAAACAGCAGCAAAAAAACCCTGAGAAAAATCTGAATGCATTTTAGTTGAAGTACTGCTCAGATATTCTGGCAGTTGTGCATTGCAGAAGATCTGGCCTTGAGGTTCTCTTGGTCAAATACTCTCTGAGCACTTAGAAAAACAGAAATAAAAGTAAAAATACGCTTATTTTATGCAAGCCTATTCAAGTTCTGTGTTGAAACAACTGACACTGAGGATGGTATTTGCTTCTATGTATGCGTCACTAGTGGTGGAAGAACAGGGATCAGAAAACGCCCTGTACCCAATGGGCCTGTGCTGTTAAGACATCTTCATAACCACTTCCATCAGGACAGGTACAGCCATAGCATTGCATGGAGGAGATCTAAAAGCCAAGGACTTTTGCCCTAGGCTTATGTTCACAGTGGGGTTTTCTTTCTGCTGGTGTTACAAGTGGCACTGCTGCTAAAGGCAGGATTATAATTTTAAAGAGATTTATATTAAATAATATTTATTATATTAAATAATAAAGAAAAGAAAACCAGCCCTTTTTTCTTTCAAAAAAGATTTTCAGAATGTATTTTGAGGTGGTCTTCACATGTAAAAAGGTGATTTATTTCACCATACATCACATACAATGGCTGATGTGTTCATATCAACAAATTTTCATTTCAACAAGTGCCTTATAGTTACTTCAATCTGAGTATCTAATCAGTTCCATCAATAAAAAGTGAGGTCTGAGCTCCGTAATACAATGCTACTCACTACCCCAGCGTTGCGAGGATTTCAACACAGAACCTGAAACAAAATCCAAGCACTTCTTGAGACTGTATTTATTTTTATGTAGAGCTGGTGACCTCAAGACTGCCTGGTCATTTCATTCTCACAGGAAGAAGACTGTACTTAGGTTTCGGATAGGGGAGGAATTTAACCTTTGGCCTGCAGCACATCAGCCAGAAGTCCCTGTCTCCCTGTTTTCATTTTATTTATAAGTAGATAGCACCAGAAGGTACTTATCCATCAGATTAAAGTGAATGTAGTTAATAATGTAGAAAATCCAAGGAAGAGGAAATTGAGTTTAACATCCACAGTGAAGTCTCATGGAACTGCATGCAATTACAGGCAGGGTTTGTTGGTTGTAGTTTTTTTTTTTTCTTCTTAAAATAAACACTTCTGGACTTTCATGACATTTAACGGACCACCCTCACATTTCAGATAGCTTACTGCTTATGAGCTGTGTGCCCTGATTCCTACAGGCCAAGGAAGTCCTGGCATTGTTGAGGGACAAAGTGGAGCTCTAGGAAGGAGTTTGTATTTCTCCTAACAACCATAACATCCTCAGAAAGCTGCGTTGGTTTGGACTATCTTCTCTGGGCCCACGAGGGCAAAGCTAGGAACAGAGATTATCGTCACTTACTTTGTTTTGTTGTTTAACTTGCTGTAAAGCAAATTTTAAAACTAATTTGTCCTTGAGAAAAAGTTTAAATTCATGATCTGTATGAAAAGCTTTAGGTTGTTGGTTTTTTTTTTTTGGCTTGAAAAAATCAAGATCTAGGAGGATCACAAATAGGCAGCTGGCAGTTACTCACACTCTAGTGCACATTAGCGACTCCTTGAGACAAGATGCAGAGAGCAGCAGAGAAATCCAGGGCCTGAGGAGCAGCTGCAAAAGTCTACTCTGAATATTATAATCCTCTATCCAGAGTATGAGTCATTAACATTTTGTACCTTAAAATCTCTCCCCATTCTCCGCCAGGAAGGAACATTCTCCACTCTTACCAACTTCTACTGTTCTACTATCCCAGGTGTAACCCACCTGGCAATTTTTGCTAGACTACTTCTCCCACTCTGGTTCCCAGACCATCCTTATCTTTTGGCATAGACAAACTGAAGATCTTGGAAGGAGCTCCAGCAGATCATTTGCTTTTCAACTTCTACTCCCATGTCATGAACTTATCCTTCTTCCACATGGGCATCACAATTTCCTCCTTCACTGCACTAACAGCCTTTCTTTTATTTTGTTAAACTCTCCTTCAAAGAGTCTATTAGTAACACGTCAGACTGAGAATTATATGGAGACATGACACTGAGCTGATAAATCAGAGACACAGGCAGCACACGCACTAGAAGGCCCCACAACTAGCAGAGCTCCTGAAGAGGAATGTGTGTATAGACACTCCACCAGGCATCTTCTAGCATCTGAACATCCATAGAGCACACAGAGGAAAATGAATAATATGGCACTTCTTTTGATATGTGATTTAAAGTGTTAGGCTTTGTCCTTATCTACTTGCATCTAGGAGCACATGCTCATACTTCCAACATCACTTACATAAACTATGCATTTTTAGAAAGCGTATTTTGAAGACTTTTTTTTTTTCTTTGTCTCATGGTATTGCTGATGTGTATTATAATTCACTTGGCATACTTTGCCTTATGGGTTTTAGTAAATGCTTTTATTCCAGCATGTTTTATGCAAGAGACTAGAAACAAAAAATTAAGAATTTTGAAGGTTCAGAATTTTATAACTGATGTTATAGTTTAAGCGCCATTTTTATTCAGAGTGATTATAAAAAATTCACACCTGGAGCCAGAAGACACTACCTGCAAGGGCTATCATTACCAGTCACCAGAGTATTTCCCGTACCTGTGTGCAACAAACAGCACACCAGGCTAAAATGCCTACGGATCTGACACAGGATAGCAACTGATCCACTCAAAAGTAAATTTTACCTACTGGATGTGTACAACTGGTGACAAAAATACCCAGGTCCACAAGACTGAGTTTACCAGTAACCTCCCCTGCGTTCTTGCTCAGTATCAGCACTGATGAACTGATAAATAGCTCTTTCATTTTGGTAATTCATAGCTGCTGCTGCTGTGATGGCTGACATAGTGTGGGGACAGCTCCTGGTCAAAAGGATAAAGCTCAGTATCTCCAGCTAAATATATAAAATCAAATTTTTTTTTCCTTTCTGTCTAGCACATAGGATGAAAAATGCCCTATTTTAACTATATGCAATTGCACAATAATATTGCCTGATGTACAAAGTCTTCTCAATACAGAAAGTTTCTATTACTTTAAAGGAGCATAAAGCCTTGTATACCAGGGTCAGAGCTAGGTCAAGGTTGCTAGACTTTTCCAGGATGTGAGAGTTTTGCAGAAGTAGACCAAGAGAGAGACTCTGGATTAATCTGTGACAGGTAGAAAAATGTTCTTATTTAGGAATCCGAGCAAAGTTTTAGTCTCTAAGATTTGGCAGCTGTATGCCATAAAGATAGGATTTCTGTAAGTACTGCTTGCTGAATCCAGGTTTGTTGGTTTGCATCAATGTCAAACATTCACTATACAATACATTCTCATCTCATGGAAAGAAGGCATCTGAGAAGCTCTTCTTGGTGACATTGGGTGTTAGAGATGCAATTCAACCTGTTTCACAGTCAAGAGTGCTGCTTTGGTTAGTTACAAGGAAGCTGGAAGATGGTGTGGAGAGAGAGAAGAAGTTATACTTGTCATGTTCCTCTTTCACAACTGATACTCTGCTATGCTCAGTATGCTTAATGGGAAGGAACAGATGACATTGGAAGTTCTCTGTCAAGGGCTACAGGTACTAAGTAAATAAAGCAATTGGCAAGCTAGTCCTGTATGACATGAGCAGTAGTAATACTACTAATATGCCACAGAAATATGCTAGCACATCATATTGAAGCAGCTTTTGGTACTGACTGACCCAGAAGATAGTTAGGGGTGGGGGCAGAAACACAGTCCAGGAGAAAATCCCAGATCTAAATATGGACTTTGAAACACAACTTCATCTTCCTCTTTTATGGCGTGTCAACGTATGCTTTCTTTTATGTGCAAAGTAAACTAAAGACAAATGACTCCACCAACAAAAAAAAAAAACTTACCTATCCTACAGAAAAAACAATTTTTCACTTTATTTCATGTATAACTTAGAAAAACATATGTGTACACTGCCTACATGGAATATTTAAATCCAAAACTTGGCTCAAAATTTCAGCCATGAAACCATGGTATTAGGAAACATCCATTATATGTTGCACAGACACAACATTACATGTTGTTCCATTAAAATGTTACACACACCCCAAGTCATCAGACATTTCACTTCACAGTAGATATGATACACTTACATAAACCTTTAATAAACATGGAAAGTGCCCAAGCTAAGATCCTACTGTCTGTCTACATACAAACAACCTGTGATCACAATTTAAAAAAGAAAGCAAAAAATAGATATTTTAAATTCAATTTTCAGCTTTAAATGCATGCATTCTAAAGAAAATAAAACAGAAATCTTACAGGTTCAACAAATTCAAATTTCTTTTTCTCTTGTACTTCTTGAATTTTAAAAACATATTCTAATGATGCTTCATAAAAGTTTTGATGTTCTCTATCAATCTGTGTATCTGCCTAAAAGACAAAATGAAATATAGACAACATTAATTTACTCTCATGATTGCTTTAAAAATAGATTTTGTCATTAACAAACAGCTCTTCCGTAAGATTACTTTACAAGCTTCATGGGGTTCAGTTTTCTTCCTGAAAATTAGAATACCTACTTAAAATAGCTAAATGCAAGTTTAAGAAGCTAACATTACACATTGTAGCCTCATTCCTTTTCCCCACACCTCTTGATTTCCTCTTCGTTTTTGCACTTTAATATTCTAGTTTTTAGGAGAGCCTGGAGGGAAACCAAGAAAGGTGGCAGCAGGAACTCTGTCCCTGGTATATGGAAAGTTTAGAAAAAGAAATAGAAGAGAGTAGGATAAGAATTAAAGGGAGACAAAAAGATTAATATTTCTATTGAAATGTTTGAGTATCACATGCACTGAAATATACCTATTTCTCAGCCTCAAATACCTTCCCAAGAAGGTACAGACTGTCTCTAACAATGACATCTTGCAACTTATTACTTCATAGTATGAGTCACGTGCTCTTGGAATATAAACATATTTAAGCCCTTAACCTCATAAATCAATTATTTTTCACGTTTTCATTTTCAAATGCAAGAACTACAAGGCAATATTTGTCAGAAATGCCTGAGTAATACCACCCGCCATGAAGATCCAGTACCAAAACAAAGTCTTCTGCCTAAACAACTAAAGAATTAACTCTTATCAGCTGATAAAGAGTAATAGGCTTTCATCCTCAATTTAAACAAGCCATGGGAGAGGGACCTAACAGACAAGCAGTGTGGTATGTGGATAATGCCTAAAGAAGAGATGCAGATTACATTTTAATTAATCCTTCTTCGTAACAAATAATTTTCTCAAGCAATTCCCTTTTGGGCTGCATTAAGTTAGGTTTTGGTCTTAGGTCAAAAAGAAATTTTATCAAGTATTGGCAATATGAGTAAAACCAGTTCAGCTATTTTTGACATATGCCAGTTAAAATATAGCAGTATACTTCTATATATTCTCTAGTTCAATTCTGGCATTAAAAGTAACAAATATGGAAAAATTGGGAAAGCTAAATGTTGCCTTTGCTTGATAGCAAACATTAAAACAGCAAACATATCATAAAAGAGGTTTAGAAATTTTAACAGTACAAGTGCAAAAAGTCAGTGTTTTCCTTCAGGCAGGACTCGGTTATCAATAGCACCATATATAACTAGCATCGCTTCTTAAGGACATGCTACTATCGTGATTTGGCCACACAGGCTCTTAACAATATTGATCCACTTCCCCAGCACAGTGCTCTAGCACTACTTCGAAGTATGGGCTTCAACGATATGTTTCATATGATTCAGTACTAGCATTTCCTTCCCATGCCTATAAAAAACTAATCAGGAGATTAAGTACAAAAACTAATATTATGAAGCAGAAATCAGGCACTTAAAATTCCAGTAATTAAGTGCTTTACCACAGAATTAACTCTGCCATGTGCCATTCATATAGTGTGTTCGGCTACTGTTTTCTTTGATACTCTGTGTTAATAGTTTTATTTCACAAAAATTATATCACCAAGGCAATGCGACATAGTTGAACAGAACCAGGTGCCACCACTTCGGCACATGATCCAGCAAGCCCTTGCTCACAGAAGCGCAGTCAATAAGCACTTGAGACAGACCTCAGCTCTCACATTTAATTGTCAGCAAATAACAGAATCTAGTTTTAGAAATGAGCTCTTTCAGGTTTCGACTCAGAAAAAGTATTTAAACACCTAATAAAATCCATCTCTATTCTGAACAGCATTTAAGCAGATTGTAGTTGTAATGATACTTACGACAACCAAGTGCCATCTCAAATATGCATGGGTTCCTAAATTAAGGCCATAATTACCACTAGTGTACAGGGACTAAATCATAATTTCTAAAATATATCTTCTGTAGAAGCTTATGAATTTTATGTGAACACCGAGGATTCAGATATGCAAGTACCACTTTGAAAGTGATTTTGAAGTTTCAAAAGCTGAAAGGATTTTCACAAGTTTTTCTATGACTTCAAACTGCATGTGAAAAATAAAAAGATTTGATGGATATGATTTTGAGTCTCTACTTGTATGATATCTAGTTATAGTGAGTAATATTTTCATTGATGTAGGATATCACTAAAATATATACCAGAACTTCACATAAGCTTGGAGACTGAAGCCTTTGCTCTATATTTATGCCTGATTCTGGAACAGGTTTCAGAGAAATAAAATCAGGAGTTCAATAACTTTTTCATATCACTCAATTCTGAAAGTCTTCTGCTCCACTGTGGACTTCTGTAGGCAGTGAAAAGACAGTATTATGAAGTTTCTTTTTGATGCTAAAGGAAAAAAAGCCTAATCATCTATGTAAACTGCATAAGCAGTCTTGCAGACTCTTACAATATCCAATACATTTCAATTAGGTGAATATATGCAAACCATTCTCTATAGAATATGTTCAGACCATCAAACTTTAGATGCCTAATTAAGGTGCTCTCAATTGCACTCAAGTGAGATATGTAAAATAGCCCAATACAGTATGAGAACTACTCCTTGTGCATCCCAGTACTCTTTAATCCACATAATGTGATGAGGTACCAAGAAACCTCAACAATTCAAAGAAACAGCGGGTTAAAAAAGAAGTATTTTTCAGTGTGACAGTAGCAGTCAAAAAGTGGTATTCCCATCTCACTAAAAGCATGACGTCAGTTTGAGGCAAGGAATTCCCTTCACTTGCATCGAGCACTAAAGCCCCAGCTGCCAGCACCATTCCATTCGTGGCTCTGCTGTGGGCTGCTCCAGCGAACTCTTCCTGGACACATAGGCTATAAATGGGGCTCACCCAAACCACTCTGGATGTGAGTCAACAGCTATCACTTCGATTTCAGGCCAGGAATTGGTGCTTGGCCTCCTTTTATTTACAATACAGATACAGGCCAAAAGTCTCCCTGGTTAATGTTTTTGGTACTGATTTGCTATTGTACCTTCTGCTTATGGTGGATCTATGTTGCTGATCCAGCACACTTACAGCAGCATAAAACCGGGGAAGACAGAAATGACAAGTTATGCCCTATATGCTTTACAAGTGGGGCATCCAGAAAAGCAAAAAACTCAGCCTCAGTTACAAGATTTTAAATCCAGAGATGTCACTTAAGGACACAGTGGAAAAATTTACTCTGGTTTTCCATTAGTTTAAATACTTGAGCCAAATCCATTGTTATTCTACCACAGTTTATTAGATTCACAGTTGTTACTTTTCATTTCAGTTGCTCTTTTTAGACTTTAATTATTCTCACGTCTCAAGAGTAAAATATTTTATTATATTTTATTTATATTCTAGAGTAAATTGGTGCTTAAGTTCACTTTTCCACATTTTGGTACAACATTAAGTGTTTTGGTTTTTTTTTTTCTCAGCTGGTGCTTAGCCTCTAACAGAACTGCTTCTTCATCAATACACAGGATATTTAGGAAAAGTGAAAGCTGTACATATAAAACTTTGACATACAAGTGGAACAATTAACCAATCCTACATAACTAATGTGTTATCTAGACTGTTTATTATATAGACAGCTATGGCAATTCAGGAGTATAAACATTATTACAAATTTTGAATTGCTAAGCCTCATTTAATTCAAATTATAGTATTATTGTTAAACATGAAAAAAAATCCTACAATTTGTGACTGAGTGATGGCCACATCTTCTGTGAAAACTCCATCAGCAAACTAATCCCCCATGATTTAAGAGTCACCGTGACAAACGTAATCCCATCACAATAATTTTTAATAATTTTAATATTTTATTTAAAAATAAAATTTTTGGCACAAACCCCAAAGTGTTGTTGATATCAAATTGCTGGTTTACTGTAATTTGCCTCAAAGACAAATCATAATTATTTTTACCAGCATACTGAAAAGCCCTGGAATCTTCCTGTTAAACTAGAAGTCTTCATGGTTTGTTTTTTTTTAAACAGGAAAGAATTAGCCATACAGATTCTTCAAAGCTGAAGTTGTGGATACAATTTCAGGGCATGATGCTGCATTCCCAGAATAAGGTGAAAAAGAGGAAAAAAGAAGCATAAACCAGCATCATTAAAGTGACCTCAGTTCAGTCTCCCAAATTAAAATTTATGTGAAACAGAAGCATAATTTCATTGAGCAATAAATTAAATAGCAAAAAAAGCAATTAATTATTTGACTTTCAAATATTCCACATATATCTTATAAAAGTCACATTTTTATTGTAGTAATATAATTCTGTTGTTGCAACCAATAAACATTAGCTGTACTTGAAGTACACAAAGTTGGACATGCAGAACATTGTCTTGTTAAAATAATTAACTCTTACTAGGGTCATATTAATCCCTCTCAATAATTTATATTCACAACAAGCGTGACTACAAGAAATCGCCACAATTTCACATTAACAAAATACAGCATGTCTTGAAGAGAACCAGTTTGTTATCATGATCTCTACGCAAATGTGAAACTGGGTAAGGGTTTGTTTAGTACTTACATCTTGCAAATGAGATTCTTTCTTCTTTGCTGATAAATTTAAGTGCTTCTCTAGGATGGAATAATATTTCTCACTTTCTTTGTCAAACTTCTTCTTCCCATCCTGAAAAACAAAACATTGCCAAGTAAAGTATTTGACTACATATCACAGCTAACTTAAATTAAAGGAAAGAATAGGTGCCAAAATATGCCTGGTTATAAAGCCATTTTTGTTGGTTCCTATGTTTTTAGGGTTTAATTCTAAATTGGGCCTGAACATGTCAGGAGGACTGATTCAATTATTAAATGCAATATTAAGCAGGATTTTTCCCATAAATAATAAACCTTTAC